TTTTTAAAAATAAATTATATTTGAATTGCTGGGAAATTTCCAAATGTCTAAATGTATTTCCGAACACACCCTAGTAACAATAGCTGAGTGTTTTTGAGACTTTGCTCTGCAGCATGCTGCTGCAAAACATATAGAAGTTTCTTTATAGAACAACGTTCTGGGCGGTGCTTTTCTTTCATAGTTTCATACACTCTGACTCAAATGTGAAAATTAAAATTTACAATTGTGTAAATTAAAGCCTTTCATTGTTTCCTGTGCTTTTAAAAAATATATAAATAAAAATTCTGATATTTTGTTTCCCATAGTAGATTCAAATGCATTATGTAAAGATTCTCTTTTAATGAAATATGTTGCCTTTGGAAATAATGTATATTCCCTAGGTATAGTTCTTGACAGAACATTCCAGTCTGTACTTCACTGATAAGTTCCACTAGCTTTGAGGTTTCTCTTTAGAGGGATTCTTGGCCCCTTGTAATGTTGTACTCCCATCATGTATGTAAGTTGAAGATGGTTTTTAATATAGGTCCTTCTTGAAGGATAAACAGTTTATGTTGTATTTAGCATTCAAATTAATTATTTAAAGTCTTTGGAATTACTTTTCTTATTTAAAGTAGCTATTTTGATTGTCATCTAATATTATTACTCTGCTATTTTATTGTGTGTCTTTCCCCATAGAAGCATGATTTATGACAGCAGCATAAAGTTCATATGGGTTTTCCAAGGACTTTTTGAAATAGCCACCTCTGACCTTCTCCTGGGTTGTTAATGCTTCACTGCCAAATCTCATGGGATTTAAAAAATTATATGTCTCCATACTTTTCATGATAATGCTATAAGGAAAATTAAAATAAAACAAGTGACATCACCTTAAATGTGCTCTTATCCTGGTATGTTCATGTTCATTTATGAAATTTTGGTAAACTTTTTAATAAAATTATAGAAAGTTACAGGCTTTTTGTGATTCTGTATGGCTGTACTCATGATCTTAAAACTTATCTAAAAGACTGGCCACAATATATCTGAAGTACCGTTTATCCAGTGAACAGTTACTGAGCACTGCTTTTACCAAACTAAAAATACACCATGTCCAAATATGCTAATTAGCCTGATTCAATCATTCTGCAATGTAAAACTCACATTGTATCCTTGAATATATGCAATTATTATTTATTAAATAAAAATAAAACAAACAAGCAATGACTTCAAACTCCAAAGAGTTTGAAATTTATTAAGGAAAGGAAGTGGGAAGAGAGAAGATAAATAATAATACAAATCAATAAGGAAAAATAAGAATATAAAATAAGCCATAGGAACCATAGAGGAGGAAACAATTAGTTGTTCTTAAATAACTTAGGTGTTTATGCTAGAGGATATAATAATTGATTTGATATATCACCAAGTGGAAAAAGTGAAGAAATTCAAAGGAAATGAAACAGAATAAAAAGTGAGAAAATATTAGTTCATAGTTATGAAATTAGTAGTTATTACTTTTGGTCCCTTGATGAATTTGCCCATATCGCTCAGTACTAGCCTCATTTTGTTCATATGTTCTATTTACCTAACAACCTCAGTCTTAGCTCCAAACCCATTGAAATTATTAATTTCAATATACCATATATACATAATCTGAGATTAAACAACATTCATAAAAAGCAGTTATTCACAGCATTTTTCACTTTTGCAGTGATAAAAATGATACCAGTGGATTGATCCCATTTGACTGATTGAAGCATGCATACTGGTAAATTTCAGGGATGATTAATTTTTAATTCACTTATCTAAGAGCCTGCTTTTATGGCAAATACTGAAAATACAGAAAAACTAAAGCTCTTATCTCAAGTAAATAGGAGAAACAAGGCAGACTACTTGCAGTAAGGACCTCTACCTAAGAAGAAATGCTTATGTATACTTAAACACAGAAATTTAAAGAAACACAGGATATCCTTACTGAATGAGGCAATATTTCTGAGTAGCATTTTAAAGGAAACCTATGAGGTTTGAAGGACACAGAAAATAATGTCCTGGAGTTCTTTCCATGTGAAAGGCATATTTTTTTTTCACTTAGTATCTACCATGGGATTTGCTAGCTTGACTTGACATCCAGCTTTATGTTCTTTTCAAGGCTGAAACATATCTATTGACCTTTCTAAATCATTGTCCTAATTTCTTGCACATATTTATATAATAGTCTTTAATAAAATGAAGTTTTCAGAAAGAGAGAAAAGGATAATTAATTCTACATAAAAGAAGAAAACCATTGGTTAAGAATTTTTATCAGCTCCTATTTGCTACAGAGTATATTAATTCCCACTAAAAACCATAAAAAATCACACCTATATCAGAACTATGATTAGAATTGAAAGGTCAAATGACTTAGTTTTTAATAAATTAACTGGTCACTTATATTTTGAAACTACATTTTAGGCCAAAACTCCTTTTTCTTTTTAATGGACTCTAACTGCTTAATACATTTTATTTTTTTCAACATAGCATATTTGGCTGATTTATACTTCCTTCCCAAGTATTTAGCCGTATCATTTTCTTATGTTTTCTGTACCTTCCTACTTAGTGGAAACATTGTTTGTTCTTGGAGTGTGCTTTGTCTTCCTTTTCAAGAAGATCATCAAAGTTACTAGTTTGCAGATTCCAAAAAGAAAAAGCCTTCTAATCCCTAGTTCAGAGGCTAACCTTTATTAGTGCTCTTGTGGTTATAATGAGGACCCTGCTTCCAGCAGGGAGATTCTGGAATACTGAACAGATTATTCAACAAGTTCAGAGAAGATTCTGAAGTCCCTTATAAAACCTGCTTGTGAATACTGCTTTCTTTGCTTTACTGTTTCTGGTTTCCATAGTATTCCTAATTATATAAATCATGTGGAGCATGGGAGCTATTTTCTATCCAATATCAGTTGACAATGCTTATGTTGTGGTATAATTTTAATTTTTTTCCAAGTCAGACATTTTTCTTAAATTCTTACAAAGTGTACAAACTCTGAAAAAAGTAGTTTTGTTTTTGAAAATCTAGTAAGTGATTGTTTTTGGAATCTATGATGCTGATATAAAGAATCAGCAAGTTATTTTATGATGAGCAAGCATGGGTAATACTGGTGAAGCTGATAAATTTTTCTCAGGTTTGAATTCAAGATTAACTTGTGGATGTAGATCTTTTCAGTTTATCACTTACTTCCCAATTTATTTAACTTTATTTCAATTTAAGTTCTATTTATCTAGTGCTTTTCAATGTTCAAAATGTGTGTTGGTTAAATGAGTGTATCAACTCAAGGTATATAAATTAAAATCTAATACATAGTAATTTATTGTGGCAATAAACTAAAAGTGCTGATATTTTTAAGCTAGGTTTTTTTTTTCTTTTTAGGAGAAATTGTAATCAAGATTGGTTTTTCTAAACATTTTTTGAAAGATTGAAGAATTATGATACTTAAAATAAGCTATTTCTATTTTAGTTATTTTTTTATAGTGTATACATAATCATGAACTTTTTAAAAAGTCTGAGGCACTCCTTATGGTAAAACTTATAGAGAAAAGGAGTGGCTCTAAAAGAATAAAAATAGGATTGATAGATGAATCTCAGGAATTAGTTTTCAAGCTGGATGAGTGAATTTCATGCATATATCTGATAAGATGTCTAAATAGTCATAGCGCTGTAATTTCTTTTTAACTTTATTTATAGTAGTAGAAAAAATCTTAAGCTCTATTTCTAACATTCTCCTAAGTGTTGAATATATTAGACAGACTTCAGATTGTGCTTTGGTAGAGAGTTGTAGAACTTAGTGCCATAAAGTGCATAACTTTTTTACTAAGAGCAAAATTCAGCAGAATACCAGTAGCAAAGGCCATTTGCATAACTCAGCCTCTCAGCAGCTCAGCTGAACCTAATTGTAATTCAATTTCCAGATTGCTTCCCTAGGCCTGGCTGCATAAAATATGCAACATATAACATAACCAATGGTACAGGACCTACTTTCTTTATTGGCAATCTATTTAATTTCTTTTTTCTGGTATATGTATTAGAATAAGGTAACTAAAATATATAGCTATTTTGTATATTTATATTTGGATCATATGTGTACACTTAAATATTAAGACCAAGTGTAAAAAAGTGATATTCTTTCATTTTTTTCTGAGTTCCAAGTGTGCTTATTATTTCTTTCTTTCTGTTTTTTTTTTCCAGAGGAAAATTAAATCTTGAAAAATGTTAGCTAGCTGCCATGTTATTTGAGTATTTTACACTAGAAAGACTTTATAAGCTAATCATGTGAAAAAGTGTATAAACATGTCTGTCAAGTCCATATGGATGTTGCATTACAGATCTACAAGTAAATATCTTTTATCTATTTACAAAATGCCTGCTGGAATAGCATTCCTAAATCCTTGACTAGTTTTATATCTCAGAAACTTAAAAACAAAAAGGTATGGTAAAAATGCTTAAGATTCTCCCCTTATTTTTAAACAGTCTTGCCACCCTATTTTAGGGGTTACTTAAGAAATGGCAGTGACAATCCTGGAATAGGATGGTTTATAAAGGTGTGGATTTTATTTTATGAATAATTTCCAGATGTGATGTTTTAGGTATATAGACTCTGCTACAGGAAGCTATATACAGAAACAACATGGATCTTACAATTTTATCAGGACAATGCAAGTAGATTTCAGCAAGGTTGGTTCCAACTCATCTGTGATAAATGAGAAGATAAGGCAATCAGTGCACACCATGACACTCTGTGCAGCTAGTTAGGCACACTTCAGAACTATTCAGGTGTGCTCTCAAAGCTTATGAGTCTTGCATGGGGGGGGTGTCTCAATATAAATACATCCTTCATGGTGGCCACTAGTAATGCAGGAATTGCCTCTCTAAGACTTAACCCAGGTCAGATATAAATAATAGATGTTAAGAGTTAGCTCTGGTATTGGGGCTGTGTTCCAGGCAGTGTATTTCGGTTGGGTCAAAAGAATTTTTTTCCCCTTCTTCTCTTGCATAGTTCCTCTGCTTGAAAAATGCCTTCAAAATTCCATCACACCTTTGCGGGGACCACTTTGGGTCTCTAAGGGAGAAGGTTTCAGCCCCTCAGGAGCTAAGATGTACATCCAAGGAGTTCTTTTGGCCTTGTACCAACGATTACAGTCTGCAAAAAAATATTATAAACAGGTGAGTCATCCCTCTTTAAAAACTACTTTATTATATGTTTTAAAAATGTACTCGGTTATATAGAGGAAATGATTGGCATCATGTCATAAAAGAACTGTGACATGTATTTTGTGAGCTCAGTGCCCGTTAGGGAGCCAAAATGCTGCTTCTGTAATCTGAAAGCCAACAATAATGGGGCTAATTGTATCTGTCTTTTGGTATGGGATGTCATATGTCTCATCTTTTCTTGCTGAGTACCGTGCAAAGCAAAGGCAACTCCTTATGTGGAAATTCTATAGACAGTTGCTTTGAGAAAATGAACAGCTCCTAAGTCATTTGAAGGTTTAGCTTCCTATTTTCCTTTTCATTATAAAACCAGATTGCTTACAAGAGAAGTTGGACTAAAATAAAACAAATCATATTCTGTAAAAACGAAATTGTGGATTAACTTCACATGTCAAGAGTAACTTATTTCACTTATGCTTATTTAACCTGTATGTTTTAGGACCTAAAACATAGAAATAGAATTAGTGTATTTAAACCAGGTAAAACTAGATTTTGTCTTTTAATTTCTATATATCTGTTCCATAATTGTGGGGTGTGTGTGTGTGTGTGTGTGTGTGTGTGTGTGTGAAGACTTTGAAATTTTAATAGCTACTTATAGGGATTTTTGACTTACCTTAAAGTAGAATTCTGATTGTAAAGCAGAATAATTGATACCATTTATAAAATAAAAATGTAGTTGTCACATTTTCAAAATTCTCTTTGCACTTGTTCTTAAGAAACAAAGCATACATTTTTACCATGTTAAAAAGGACTACATTTTATATTTTGAACTAGGAGGTTATGGATTAGAACTGGGCTCATTATCTCAAGCCACAGTCTGTTGAAAAATGAATATTTTGAGATTATCATGCTATTCTCTGTGTGCAGAAAGGATGGGGAAGGAGGTGGGAATGATATGTCAGTCTTGATGTTCACACAGCACCTCCTGCTGTCTGGTTCAGAAAAGAACAATTTGTATTGACTGGGAGAGTGTGTTGAAGTAAGGTATTCAGAACTATCAAGAAACATCTTCCCGTGAGAAACTTTTATTTGCAAAATGTGTGTGGTTTGTCCTTCAGCAATTTCAGTGGATATAGAATCAAGATTAACAGTTACCATAGATAAGGCTATTCATAATAATAAATTCAGAAAAATAAAACCCCAAATTTATTTTATTGTTTCTTATTAAGCTATAACACAAACGTGGTATATATTATTGTATTTAAAATATTTTAGTTGAAACACTATTTTATTTTTGAGATGTAATGATATTATAAAATGGATCTTGACCAGTTGAATATATTGCAATCATTTATTTGATATTGTATGTTTTGATTCCACTTATTGGAAAGTTTTAAATTATTTAACATTGAGTAAAACATTTTCCAATGCAAGAAATGTGCTGTTTAAATATAATCTAAAGACAAATGATTTCTAAGTTTTATTAAAAACAAGGATGGTAGAGATAAGAAACATCTCAGAAAGTAATGATATGTTTTTGTTTAGCTATCTATCCTAACATAATTTAAACTTTAAATTAATATAAACAGCTAAACTAGTTCTGTGCTTTGTGAGAAAAAGAAATGACTTGAGAATTACTTATTGCTTTGATTTAAAGAATTTCTTTATGATTCAAAATTTATGAAAAATACATTTTATTAAATAGTAAATGTAAATGAACAAATTTAACATTTTCACTGTGTTCATATCATTATGCCAAATTTAAGAATACTTAAAAACTTAAGCTCTTTGCTATAGCTAACTGAACCTTTAAAATTTTCACCATGTTCTGATAATTTAAAGCTTTACAATATGACTGCTTAAGTTTTCTTTTAAAATAAAAGTGAGGAAAAAGAAATAGAAAATTTCCCATTATGCATTTGCTTGCAAATTTTTATTTCTTAAACATGTTCAATTATATGTATTGGTGAATCTCTTTTCAATGACTTATTGTACCAAGACTTAATTTAAAATTGTTTACAATGTTTAAAAAAGTCATTGTAGTAGTAACATTATCAGGCCATCAGTGGCTAAATGTTTAACCTGGCAATATCTTTGTTTATGAATAGAATTTTTTAACAAATATCTCTCAGCATTAATGAACTTTATTTGAACTGCATTTACTTCATTTGACCTTTGGGATAGGCTTTTCTATTTAGTTTTACATAAGATTATGTTAAGGAATCATTAGACAGGTAAAATGGAGATGGATGATAATTCCTCTTTCCCTATCCAATGTAAGTTTATAAATTATAGGATTATCTTGACTCTTGATGTCATTTATTCTACTTCTGACATCCCGAATAAAAATCATATTGTTTTGCTGTTTGTCAAAATATTATAAAAAAACTTTAAACTTTGACATTCCCAAAGGAAATTTCTTTTAAATAAATTGCAATAATATAGCCTTTAAAAAGAAGTCAGGGATACTGGTTTTATGTTTACGAACTTATCATTTTTTAATTTTTAACTGTAGCTTGGCTGTTATAGCATGCAACTGAATTAAGCACACTACATTAGGGTAGTCTTAAATATATACTGATTCGTGTATATGAAAATGAGATATTATATTTAGGACAGCATAAAGTCACTTAGTCTTACATTTATCACATTTATTTCCTTAAAAGTGGAAACATCTTAGAAATTGCTCAGAGCTAAGCAGAATCTATTTAATTGGTAATCTTTGAAATAGCATAAACGCATTCCTATGAAATGTAGTTAACACTTTCAGCGACAAGGCCTGTTCCATCTCATTAGCATTCTTGTTATGTAGTGGTGCTGTTGGTGGGGGTGTTGAAGTAGGAATGCCATTGTGTCGAGTTCCAGTGTTTGGGGACAAACACTGCTGTGGAAGGAACGTGTGAAAAGGCCACAGTCCTGTCAGTGAATGAGGAAGGCTGTGCTTTCTGTGTGCTTCAAGCAGGGAAGCTGTCATTCATAGGCCTAACACAGCCAAACAGAGGCCAAAACACAAGGCTGCCCTACCTTTTAAAATGATATTAGTGATTTTTAAACATGATCTTCTTTATTTATAATCTTACATAGAGCTTTTAGTTGCTGTCAGTAAACAAAATATGTCTGTCTGTTCAGAAATACTGTAAAGATGAATAAAAGTCTATGGAATTGTGCCAGGCAGCTATATAAATAATGATTTGGAAGGACTGATGGGCAGTGTTTGGTACAAACGTGATTTGGGGAAACTTCCATTTCTGGAAATGTCTTTCCAGTTTAGATACTACTTTGAATATTTTTCCCCTAACCAACAAAATTGTTGGAGAGTTTCATGTAATGAATGCATAGAATTTTTTTTCCAATACAGTTTTTAAAAGAGCTTATAAACTTGCAGTCTTAATCACAAATCTATTCACAATATGGCTTAGTTGTTGTAGATTGCATAGTCATTTCTGAAGTTCAGAGGGAAACAAAGGAAATGACTATATCAAGATATTAATCTTGATAAACACCATTTTAATTATGAAGACAGTCATAGTCCCTGTGCTACTTAAGACATAAATACATTAACACATAGAATTAAGAAGTTTGAAGGACAAAATTTTAGCAGTTTGGAAAGGAATGACCAATTTTGAGATTAGACTATAACTTGTTTGATTATTTAAAGCAAAATAAAGAAAGAACAAAAAAAAACTCAAGTATTTCTTAAGATTTTGAGGCATCTTTAAAACTTCAGCAGTATATTGGAAAATTGGCAATTTCTATTTATGTCTGAAGGTGTAGGGAAATGTTTTATTTCTGTAATTTTATTTGAAAATGTATACATGGGCTATTTGTGATAAATCATTACTTAATGAAGTTTGCCAAGAACCATATAATTTTTGGCCTGAGTGATTTAAAATTTTTTGTATGTATGTGATCCTTTGTTAATTAATTAAGCAAAGCAACTTTTTTGAGTGCTGTGGTATGCTATTTCTAAAAGTTTTGCATTTGATTCAAATCTAGATACTGAGTTTCTATTTCAAAAATTAAGTTTCACTATTTAAATTGGAACCATGTTGTAGATTTATTTTGTAGGTATATTAGTAGATAAGGAAATAACTATCTAACTTCAGTATATATTGGTTTTTCAGCTTAAAATCGAATGTATCTTGCTAATGTGTTAAACTAAGCTCTTCCAAAGCACTTAAGTTTTCTTTATGAGTTAATGTTGTCTTACATTACAACACCCTTTCACTGTTTGATAATTAGATATCAGTAATAATGATATTTTCTATTCAGAATTGATTCAGCTAAAAATGTGCTTGAATTACATTTAGTGCTGACAGAATTTGTTGATTGCAAAAAATTATTTTTAAAGGAATCTTGGTGTTTTAATTTTTTATAAAATCATTAATAGTTTATCTTTCTACATCCTGTGTCTTAAGTCGATTAAAATAATTTATTGGTTCTAACTCTGCTGAAAGAATAACTATTTAAATCTGTGTATGGGATGAAGGTGGGAGTTCATAATCCACTTGAATCAAAGTGTGGAATATGATATGTCAAGAAATTTGTAATGTTTTGAACAACCAACAATAAAAAATTAAAAAAAAAGAATAACTATTTATAGTTCATTTTCTATACTATATACTTAAAAAATTGAGTAGTTTTCTTAAGATAGTCTTTCTGGGGCAATACTCAAATTATTGCAATTTTGAACAAACTTCCCAATGTCCTTGATACCTTGGGACAAATTTCTAATATAGGAACACAACTTACTAATGAGAGTATAAAAATAATGTGGCAGTCATTTCAAAATGAAATCTACTTTTGAAGGTTTTGATAAGTAATTTTTTTTTAGAAAATTAGGTTGTTTGTAGATTTGAGTGATTGGTGATTGTTGTTTTTTTTTCCTTCTCCTGAAACCAAGCTGCATTCTAGTTACTTGAAGTATTTTAAGAACCTTAAACTTGTGTCTTTTTCTAAGTGTCATGCTTTGAGCAGGCCTAACATCAGTTAAATGAAGTGAAAATTGCATTCTT